CGTGAACTCATAATAAGAACTACCAAATCTTCTCAAAAGAGCACTACCAAAGAAAATCAATATAGTTAGCATTTAATTGACACAAATGCCTATAGGTTGTACAATGTTCTACACCTAAGAAAGTAACTAAATTTGAATGAAATCTCCAAGTGGTGAAGACCAAAGTACATTTCAGGCGCAAACCAGGATTCATCACACTAAGGGGAAGATAGCCAGCAAGGCATTAACGCATCGAAGACACAAGTTGAGGAGGAAGGGAATGAGTTCAAAAGTTATGATAGATTACTCATAGGACGCTACAAGCCTGGGTACATTCACAATCATGAGATGGTAAAAGTACACACCGCCATTATAACGCTTGGCATCTTATCGAACGGCCCCATCACAAGAAACATGGAATGATATGATTTTACACTAAGATACAGAGTGACTTTTGCAGATTATAGAGAGAATGCTCTATCTGCTATGAAGAAACCGAAGCTGCAAAACCCTGCTAACATTTTTCGAATTATTGCCTGCCTTCTCTATCTGAGAAATTCCAAGAGGTTCAGCAGAAACATAGTCACTATATCACACTTTCACCTCTTTTTTACCAAATTGAATATTTGGTTGCTTTGGATAAGGCGCTTAGCATAATTAACATGAAATCTAACTGAGTCTCATTGCGTTCCCATTCCATCCACAAACATAAATAAACGCATTATTCATGTTAAAACAAAAGCTCCAAAAACTTAATGGTTCTCCTAAAAGAGCATTACAGACAGACTGAATACAGCCTGTTTTAGACAGTTATCATAACAGGAAAAGAGACATACCTGTTTATGGAATCTATGGAAGTAGTGACATGATCCCGAAGATGACGGAAGCAGTGTAAACCAGTTAGCTCATCACCAGCCTAAGAAAATGGAAAACCATTTTAGCTTCTTAAAAACGAGCACCCTAAGCATCTAAAAGTATCCAACATTAATCACAGATGAACTTACCAACAAGTTCTGGAGATCGTCGGTTATATCCAAAGCTCCAGCACAATCTGCGGACGCCACAAGCTGAACAATAAAAAATCAAACTTCCATCAAGAAAAAGAGGAAATACACCAAAGTAACTAACTTGACACTACTCTGAACGAATCAGTCAGAATTTTGTTTACCAATTTGAGTGCAGAGAGAGCTTGGTTTACATACAAAATGAGTCTCAATTTACGTTGCAGTTCCAACATATTAATCCTAGTTGAGCTCAGCTCTTGAATCTGTCGAGCTGAATCTACCAAATTCCTATCCAAGAGCCGAATCGTCTCTTTCAACTCTCGGATCCTACTACAACCCTCAACAATCTTCACATTCAAATCCTGTAACTGTCCCTGAGCCTCAAAGAACGAATCAGACCTCACTGATATCTCTTTCACAAGATGCAACTCCACCACATCAAGATACTGTGACAACTTCTCTTGAAGACCTAGATTCTCCGTCAAGCTCGAGAATGGACAAGCAGAACGAAATGTAGCTCCATCCTCAAGTGCAAAATCCTCTTTGAAGTAAAGTGAAGGAACCTCACGTAAACACGCAGCTAAACCCGAAACATGACTCTCCTGATCAAACCCAGAACTCTCTTCTCTCGTGTGATTCCTAATATCCTCAAACCTACCATGAGACTCAGAGATCGAAGAAACGTAGCCATTGAAATCGGATCTGGTCAGCTCCGAACCGGGTAGCTTCGTTGAAGCAACAGGTGCGAACTCAGACGGAGCAACAAATGTAGAAGAAGACCACCAACCAACCCAAGACGCATCGGAACCATAAACACCAGACTTACCTCCATGTGGATTGTTGAGAATCGAAGAGAGACTCTGACTACTTGCATCCGAGATCGATTTGGTTAAC